TACCAACGTTCTTGGGTCTTGATTACTTTATCAAGGATTACAGTCTAACTTGTCTTCTATTCAAAAACGATCTTGATCTCATCTTGAACTGAAACACTAACTATAATTTTCTGTTTAAAAGGAACTAATCACGGGGGTGTCAACTTAACCAAAAAATATTTCGCAGCTTTTTTCGGAAGCAGTAACACTTAGCTTCAATGGAAACAGTTACATGGCTCCCCTAAATTAGTAGCTTAATTTACTCCAATCTATACATGCAAATTATTAGAAATTAATGCTCAGCTTATTCATAGTTCATGAGTCAATGATAGGTCTATGCTAAGTCTTGATGTGTTTATCCCATGATGGCTCCTTGACGGGGATTCCTTGGTCTTTAGTCATCTTGTGTCGACGATAGTAACACCAGCTTGAGGATTGGTCTTTCCAGAGTTGACAATGTCTGATTTTTTTTTCTGTTGAATGGTAAGTACTAGCTACCAACTTCCAGCTTAACCTTACTTACCAAACCATCTTTGTCTGGCAGGGCTTTGATAACATGGCAGACTTTCCACTGGTTTCAAGGTGTGTCATCATCCTTGATGATGACGACATCATTCACTTGAAGGTTTTTCCTTGTGCGGGTCCACTTTTGTCTTTCCTGTAGAGAGAGAGGAAATTCTTTCTTCCATCTACAGCAGAATCCATTAGTAAGGTGCTGTACCTGTCGCCACCATTTCCTTGCATAGAGGTCAGCAGACTTGAATACTCCTGCTGGAGGCAGAACAACCTTTGTCTTCAATTTAAGGAAGTGATTTGGTGTAAGTGCTTCTGTGGAGCCTGGTGACAACATGCTTTCTGCTGTTTACGGTCGACTGTTAACTATGGCCTCTGCTTCACACATGAAAGTTTGTAAGGCTTCACTTGCTGGCCATTCTTTTCCAGTAAAGCAGAGAGCACACTTCTCGCGGTTCAGATTTTGCGTTCCCAATGAAGTTAGACCCGTTGTCACTGCACATCTGGTACACTGGGCCACGGCTGCATATGAAGCGACAAAGTGCGTGATGTATGAGTTGTCCCAGCCTACACTTTCCTTGCAGAGTAGTTGCAGTATTATTTTCTCTCTTAGCAGAAATGGAGTGGTGAGGCCTAGTGGGTATTATATGGAGCTCACTGTCGACAGAATACCACGCCTAATGAGTGGTTTGTCCTTGAGGGTGATGCAGAAGTTGAATGTGTTGTTTTCAATGTTCCATCCTACACCAAGTACGCGTTTGGGGGGAAGTAGATCATAGAGTCTGTACCCGTGATGCTATGGGTACAAGCTCCACGATTTCTCTGCTATTGGAGGTGAATTTGTGGAGTCTGAAACTGCCTCTCATTCACAGTTCAGTGCTGTTCTTGATAAGTTTAATTGCTTCTTGCACCGTGGGGATTGACTTAAGTCCGTTGTCAACATAAGAATTTGTCTTTATGAATGAAGCTGCTTCCTCCACTAGGTCATTTCCGCCGTCATTAGCAGCAGTTTGTAGAGCTAAATTTGTGCAGCCAGGGGAGGAAGTGGCACCAAATAAGTGTACAGTCATTCTGTATTCCTCGGGTTCTTTTGTGGTGTCTCCTTGGCCCCACCAGAGGAAGTCGTGGTGTTCCTCATTGATGTGGACTTGGTGGAACATTCTCTCTACGTTGCAGGCAAATGCTACAGGTTCTTGTCTGAAGCGACACAAGACACCAACCAAGGAGTTCATCAAAGCGGGTCCTTGTAAAAGGTTGCAATTAAGGGAGTGGCCCTGGAACTCTGCTGTGCAATCAAAGACTACTTGTAGCTTTCTGGGCTTCTTAGGGTGATACACGATGTGATGAGGAATGTACCATGCTGTTTCTCATTGGTTCAGGGCCTTCTCTGCATGTCCATCCTCTAACATTTTTTTCGATGAATGCTACATAGTCCTCCTTGTACTTTGGGTTGCTGGCAAATCTATGACTCAGCTGCCTAAGCGTAGTTTCGGCAAGCTTTCTGTTGCATGGTAAGTTGATGGTTTTGTCTGTGTCATGGCCAAATATTTTGTAGACTGTGTTGAGGAGGTTGGGGGCTTCCCTTCGTTACTGAGAACAGATTGAGGAACTGAGAATGTAGTAATTGCAGGTGTACAGAGCTTTCTAAGAGCAGAGTGTGATGATGATTTAGCTGGTGAAAAAGCACACTGTTATGGTCCTTCAACTGGAAACCAATGGATAGAGGCTTGGTGGTCCTACTACCGCCGTAGCTGTCTCACCTGGTGGATTACCTTTTTCAAGGACCTTATGGACCGTGGAGTATTTTACCTGGCAATACACTTCATCAGGAATGCTTATGGTTCTGCTTTGCAGAGTTAATTCAGCAAGATCTAGACTTTGTGAAGATTCACTGGAATACACACTATATTGACCAGTCAAGGCGTGATACAGTTCCCAGAAAACCAGATGAACTATATTTTCTCCCAGAAAACTTTGGTGCCTCAGATCTCTTGCAACCAGTGTCTCCTGAAAAGCTTGATGAAGCCAGAATGAAATATAAAACAACTGATTCAAAGAATGACTTTCAGGAGTACTTTAATCATTTTTTTGTCTCTGTGTAATATTTCGAAGCCCACTAACTGGAGAGAAGCTTTAAATCTGTTCTCTTATTTAATAACAATTGCTTTGTAAACCTAAATACTGAAGTCCACAACCAAGAGCATACATGTAAATGAAAAGAAATAGGACACAGTTACCAGTAACCATAGAAATACCATTTACATGCACTTTTTATCCCCTTGCCCTCCTTTCTATTTTAAGCCTCCTTTCTCGACAGTCAAAATTTGTGAAGACCCCCTCTGCAATTGCCTGCTGCCCACTTCTCAAAAGTGGTTAAAAAAAAAAGCTCCCTAACAAGCATGACGTCTAAAAACATATTCTTCTATAGTTTTGCTATTGGAGATAAATTTAAAATAAACATGAGATTCTGGTCATTGAAACAGAAGGAAAAATTAGTTGATGCACTTTTCATTACCAGCAAAATATGAACATTTTATTTAAGCATTTGTCACAATTATACCTTCATCAATAACATCAATGACAACATGCATTATACATTCATTTGATAAATAAAGGGCCAGAATGTCATCATTTAGTTAGAACACAATGTATACTATTTTAAGCATAAAATTGTTAATTTGTATTGAAACAACAGAACTGAATAGTTAGCATTTTTTCTGTCTAAATAAGAACGTTTTGTTTAGCGAACACAATATCACTAAGGATGTTTTACAAGCAACTTTAACTATGTGTAACAGCCTAGCATTATTCACACTTTACCAAAACCAGGTTAGCTGAACATGCATTCTGTGAACTCATTCTTGAATGACTCATAATTGGTGAGCAAATCACAAACTGGAAAGTTAAGGGTGCAGGAACAGGTGTTTGCTGTTAGTTTCCTATGGGGCTTATCGTGATCAAACATGGTAGTTATACTTGTGTCAAATCCAATAGCAGGTATTCCATCACATCCTGTTACAAACTGCAAAACAGGTGCAAGTTCCATTTCACTGATGTGAATCTCTTCTGTGTCAGGATCTAGGACATTTGAGGTCACTAAGCCTTGTTCAACATCTTCCAGGTAATGTGAGAAGTTGAAGGCTGTAGCTTCTTAACTTCTATGTTTGTTGCCCCCTTTATCAGAAAAAATGCAATGGAACTGGTTGTCTACAACCTGAGCAGTTAGCCTCTCGTTATTATCATGCTGCAGTAACTTGCGAGGTTTGTCTGGATTGTTTCTAATCACATTCAAGATGCCATTTGTCATCAGTCCTTTAATAAACTGATCAATTTCAGACTGGGTTGATAAAATGAGCTTGTGAAGGCAGATGCATCTGATAAATTTTTGCTTGTCTTCAAAAGCTACAACAGGCTTTGTATATCCTGCTTTGAACCTTAAAGGTGTTTTAGAAGAAACTTCTTGCTTGAACTTTACTGGGCCGCTGATGGCCTCCAGCTCTTCTAAAGTTGTTTTAACTCTCCCACTTAGGAGGTCATAAACTGATACTTTCATTGCATCTAATTTACCATATAGTATGTAGTCTACGACAGGGGCAGCAAACATTGCAGGGCCAGGTGATCCTTGATCTACTGATAGTGCTGAAATAACGCCATAATGGAGATACTCCTCCCTCTGTAGAGCAATCGTATTGTGGACAAATTTACAGCTGGCAGGAGGCCCTGTGAACAGACTTGATGACTACTGCATATGCTTGTGCATCAGGCAGAATACGTTTTTATGGTCCTTCCTCATCCACTGCAGGTTCTCCGATGAACTGGACAGTTACAATTCCATTTAAACAGTCAGGGTTTACTCTCTTCATTTTCACCAAAGTATCTTCCCACAGGCAACTACTTCTCACTTTCAGCCAAATCTTGTTCCCTGAGGTGCTGCTTTTCTGGAATAGTTCACTCAGTTTTGTACAGAGGTCTTCCTGGTTCTCCATCATGTACTTTTCACTTTTATCAATTTTTAGAGATCCACATCCATCATTGCCTAAGGAGATGTCATTTTCAAAGTCGTAGACATTATCACTGTCAGTCTCATTAATAACATGCATATGATTGAAGAGGATAACAAGAGCCTGCATTTGCATCTTCACAGACTTTGGCAATTGCAGTTTCTATTTCTTGATTGTCACTGAATACTTCAAATATCTTCCTGTCAGGTAGTTGTGGAAACATTTCTTTCAGTGTCTCAAATCCAGAGTTTTGATTTTGATATTCTGCAGCAAAACTGGATCAAATACTGGCACTACAATGAGGACGGCTAAGATTGTTGCTACTTATGACACCACTAACATTAGCATCACATATATGTACAGTAGTACTACCTGACACAGATGAAGTGGTGATGGGGAGAGGACCTGACAAATCACTGGGTGTAGTTTTAGTATTTGAAGCCACAGAGCTGGTATGGGTGTACTTTGTAACTTTACTTTGTATGGGTTCACCCAGTTCTTCAAAATCCTTTTCACTATCACGCTCACTGTCACTACCATTGAAAATGACATCAACAAGGCCTTTTAAGGCATAATCAAGGTAATCTGAAGAACTTCAAAGACACAATGTTAACCTGTTCTAAGGTTTTCCCAGTTCAGCTTTGTATCCTTGTAAACTAAATGCCTCATCAGATTCTTCTAGTCGTTTAACTTCAGTTCCATCTGGGTATAGCAATTTGTAGGAATTCACAGAGCTGTAGACAATTTTATTTCCGTTATGTAGCGATTGCTTAGCCACAGCTAACTTCAGTACCTCCTCACGATCTGCTGTTTTAGGAAGCCTTATGGGAAGACTTTTCCCTCGCTGAGGCTTTAGCATACTTTCCTCCTCCACGTAACGCATTATTCCTATGTTTATTGTCACTGGTTTGTCCTTTTCATTCTTTAACTTCTTGTTCTTCCTCTTAACATGAGACACCCGCTCATCTTTTTTCTTCTTCATGAAGGTGTCCAACTTTGGAACAGATTCTCTGAAAGATACAGCATCAGATGTGCCTTGATCAGCCCCCAAGTATCCAGTTCTGCTGCTATGAGTTTTCATCATTTCGCAGTTAGAAGAACGATCATCAGAGTTCTGGGATGTAGGATTACCACATTTTATGCAGAATTTAAAACAGGATTTTACCTCGCTACCACAATGGCTGCAAAACATGTTATCGAAAATTTAATACCGAAAAGCACGATGAGTTTGGCTTAGTCACATGTTAAAACAGTCGCCATGTTTGACGCGGAAAAATTGAGGCTCTCTCTAATAATCACGGCGTAAGTGCCCAGTCTTTTGGTTTGTGTTTCAGGAAAATTGGTTTGTGTTTTGGTAAACTGATATGTGTTTTGGTAAATTGATTTTTGCTTTGAGAAATTGGTTTGTGTTTTTGAGAAAATGTGTTGTGTTTTGGTAAACTGATTTGTGTTTCTGGAAATTGGTTTGTGCTTTGAGACATTGTTTTGTGTTTTGGCAAATTGACCCTTTTTGGCCACCGTACATTTGGCCTGGATTAAGGCAAGAGAAGCATATTCCCCTTGTCATGTAGAGGTCTTGTCTTTCTTTAAATGGCTTCTCCAAAAAGGCCTTGCATGTGGCGAGACTGTGGCGACCCTTGCATGACATACACAAACTCATATCCATGGGGGCTTTGGGAGGGAATTCGTTAGCTATGGTAGAATAGGTGGTGCTGTGCCATCTTCTCTTATCTCTTCTATCGGGGTCCACTTGGCTTTTTCGGCAGGGGAGCTTCTTTCTTTTCCAGCTCTCTACTTGTTGAGTTTAGAGCGTCACGAGAGAACACAGGATGATTGGCGTCGAGGGATGCTTCTTGTATAAACTCAACGAAATTTTCAAAGGAGTACTGGCCACACCTCGCTTTAGTTTTCTTTGCGCTTTCCCTCCGCTTGTTACTGTAGTAGGTGGGCAAATGGGCAGTGAGCTGTTGAATCATGGTTTCTTGCGTCATGACAAGAAAATCACTAAAGTCTTAAAGCTATGCGCTGGTTATGGTGACCAGTTTTTCAGTTTATCCCTGTAAGCTTCATAGATTTTAAAGGGGTTTCCGAAATGTTCCTTCAGTGTTTTCCTGGCTCTCGTGTAAGCGTCTTCTATGTGCAGTCCTAACAGGCCACTAATCATTTTTTGTGTTACTCCACTTATGTATTCACCGAGATAATAAAGCTTGTAGTTGGGAAGAACAACTTGCTCTTCTATCAGGGTGTCAAAGGTGTTTTCCCATCTTGGGTATTCTAAAATGTTTCCATTGAACACAGGGAGTTTGTGAATGGGAATGGTCATCCTCCACAGCACGTTTGGAGACTAAAGCAATTTGCACTCTATATCATCCCTAACAAGTTGTTGTCAAGAGAGCTGCTCAGTACCAAAAATATTTCCTCAAGGGAACGTTGGGCGAAGGACCTGAAATTCTTCATCTCACGAAGACTGAACAATGTTGGCAGATTAGCCAATGATGAGAAATTTTGATTTAAAACTTTCTCTTACACAAGCCAGTATGCTGCGCTATATGCCTTAAACATGACGTCATCTCTATTGAGCTTCTTTTCCTGAACTTTTTTTTTAAAATGAAATTTAGAGACTTGCCCCTGTATTTCAGACTCAATGGGATCTTTGTGTAGCTGGATCGTCTTATTAAACTGTTCACAGGGTGTGGCGTTGAAATTTAGTGATGCTTGCATAAGAAGCAAAACATTCCTTTTCCTGGACCCGATTTCGTGCAAGTGTTTAGGTTCATGTGGAACAACCAGTTGTGCACAAATCTGTCCTATCTAGGCCTAAGCTGAGATTTTTTGTTAGCTGATAGGTGTTAGTAATAGTCTTTACCATACTTGTAGAAGTTTTACATAATGATGTCTTTTGAAAGGGAACATAGTGTTTTGACTTCTTTCATAGTCAGAGCTGTGTCTCCAGGTGATTTCTCTACGTTTAACATTACTTCTTTTGGTTGTAATATTATCATCCTTCCCTCCCTTGGTTATTGAGGAAACGATCAGTTCATGTGTACTCTAACTCTAAAACATCTTTACTTGCCTTGCACTGACATAAGCTGTTATGTGGATGCTTCCTCAACTTAATATGCTTTACCTCTCTCCCCTCTATTTTTACTTTATTTAGTTCTTGGTGATACTTCTGGAAAAGCTGTACAGTGCACTAAGGGACTGCGTTTGCCCATTTCTGAAGTGTTTGTGTGACCATATAGGGGTGAAACAAAGCATATGCTCTAAGGTGCTGTTGACCTTAAAGAACTGCTCATCTGCAATATCAGGTCGATTAAACAAAGAAACATTGTCTGTAAAGCAACCTTACTGTATGAAACACTTAGAATAAAACTGTTCAGAACTGACCAGGGCCTTAGTTCATTTTGCTTATTTTGATCATTTTTTTCTTCAAAGGCCTCTGATCACCTTTCATCTCTTGGTACTTGCATTTAGCTTGGCAATAACCATACCTGATATTCCAGAGAAGTCTTATCCATCCAGTCGTGAGGCTTAGGGGCCTCCACTTGGTGACACAACCATTGTGTGACAAGCAACCCGTCTTTTGCCATTTGTTGCCAAGTTTCAGTGAAAAGATTTCTCAGTTCCAGGGGCAGGCATATTCTTAACTTAGTAGAGGTTAGCTTAAATAAGACATTAAGACTATATTTAAAAGGGAAAATGAAAAAAACCAAAATCTAAATAACTAAATTTTAAGAAGAACATCAAAAGTATTGCAAGACATAAAGTGATAATCTTATCTACAATATCTCTATTCTGATTTAGCTATATTTAGTTAATTTTGGCTGTAAATGAAAGTAAAGATTAGCATAGTCAAATATGTTACGAAAGCAAGCTCCATTGGCATATACTGTGTGAGAGAAGTGTACCCCATATACTTGATCCTTACTTCTTCCACTGCCTGCTTGCTATTGGGGTTATAACGCTGAGACAAATTGGCTGTTAGGCTTGTTAGAAATGGCCTTAGTTGGTAGAGTGTGTATGCCTCAGCAGAATGACAAGCTAGCGTCTAAGAGTTATCATTCAGATGTAAATATGTATTTATATGCAGGAGTCTTTTTCTTGGCGTCACCTTTGCAAATTCAGGGATACCCTAAATGTAATAATCTTTCCAATACTCTGTATGTGATGACAAATAATGGATGCTCATGGCAATTATCAACCTAGAAAGGAAATCTCCCTAAAATCAATTCCCTCGACAAGGAGGGATTTCTTTTCCACTTGGACTCTGAACTGCGGACCTGTTTGTTTCTCAAACAGTTTAAGTCAGCATGCAGTTGTTAACAAGGAGAAAGTAATCCTGTGGTGACATTTGAACTCGGGAAGTGCTTCTGCATCGTGAGGTGCTCCTGTCCACTACAAACCACTAAGACAATAGTTGTTTGGCCTCTCTGGTGCTCTTACATCGCCATTATCCACCTCCT